TGGACCCCCTGGTGCACGCCCCCCGCCCAAAACCTAGGCCGCAGCTACATTTTCATCATTTTTCTGCGAAAGCTTCAGAAAAGTGGATTACCCCCGGATCCGGTTTTTTGTTGACGCTCGTTTTCCCTTGCAAAAAACAATAGAAAATGAAAATTCTTGTTCTTAGTTGATCAAATTTCAAGAATCCCTTGCAAAAAATAAGGTAAAGTGGACATTCGCGCTCGCAAGACGAAATCCTTCCAAAACCTTAGGTTTCGTAACGATTTTAACATAAAAACATCAAAAACCCAATGGTTTTTTAAGAAAAAATTGTCAAAATGTCCTTCCGCGCGCTCTTGCGGATTCATAGGAAACACACCACTTTTTAAACATTTCTGTCAAAAGGGTCTTTGCGTGCTACTTCTTCAGGTGCTTTGAACTTCTCCAACAACGGTTGCGCGCCTGCGAGGGCCACCATCCCTTGCAAAAAATGAGACGAAGTGCACATGCGCGCGGCCGCCGCGCGCGCATGTCGAAATCCTGCCAAACACAATGGGTTTTCAATAATTTCAAGATGCGATGTTCAGAAAACATATGAAAACGCACTACTTTCTCATCCGAAAAATCTCGAAATCCATTCGCGGTCTCTTGATGAATCTTTAAAACCCAAGATGGCCCCAACAGGCGCGCAAGATGGCCCCAAGAGGCGTCCATGAGGCCCAAAGAGGCGCCCAAGATGGTCCCAAGAGGCTTCAAGAGGACTCCAAGAGGCCCCCAAGAGGTTCCAGAGAGGCTCCAAGGTGGCTCCAAGAGACCCCCAAGATGGCCCCAGGAGGCGTTCTAGAGGCCCCAAGAGTCCGCCGTGAGGGTCCAATAAGCCCCCAAGAGGCCCCAAGATGGTTCCAAGGAGCCCCCCAAAGGCTCTCAAGTGGACCCCAAACCGCGCCAGGAGGCTTCCCCCCTTCCCCAAGAGGACCCCAAGCGGCCCCAGGAAGGCCCCCGACTGCTGACGCACATATCCGTAGCCATCTCGGATCAACTACGTGTGACTGGACCTGTTTGCGAATACAGGAGACTGGACCTGTTTCCGTATACCCCTACGTGTGACTGGACCTGTTTGCGAAAGCAGGAGAAAGTATGGCACCCCTTTGTGTCCAGAGCCGCGCCGTCTGCGTTCTTCCTTTCTCGCTTCTCTCCTTTCCTCCTTGTCCTGCTCCTCCTCCCCCTCTTCCGCCTTGGAGCCGTATTGGAACTGTCGATGGCCATCTCCCTTTCTCCCTCGCATGTCTGCTTGTACATACGTATAATTTCAGAACTTACCGTGCATGCGATCGTTTACAACATGGTGGACCGTGCGTATGTCACGAACCTTGTATACATGTGTTTCTCTCCCTCCGTCTGGCTGTGCACGCGCGCGTTGGGCACTGAGAGTTAGGATCATAGCGCCATGAGTCTATGAGCAATGCATGCGTCATCCTTGGGACTGTATAACATCAGTGTAACACATGTACTTCTGTAATCGCATCCCCACGAATTTGCCCCAAAAATGTGACCAACTATCTTGGCACTGCGTACCATCTCACGTGTACCGTGTACCACATCATATGTAACAGATGTGATCAACCTCTGTGGGTGTGTACCCCACGCCAGTGTAGTAGCCAGGGTCGTCCGCACGCCACGAAGTGAAGTGTCCCAACGTCATAGGGCGGGAAGCTGGGTGTGGGTGGTCTCGAAGAGTCGTTTGGATATTTGGTAGAGCTTGAACGGCCCCCCCACGAAGTGGGGGTATTGGCTGGTGTCGCAAGAAAACCCTGGCACTGGGGAGAACACTGAGCGTTCGGGTAAAATGATTGTTGTTGAACACTATTACTTCTAAAGAATTATTATTGTTGGACCCCCTGGTGCACGCCCCCCGCCCAAAACCTAGGCCGCAGCTACATTTTCATCATTTTTCTGCGAAAGCTTCAGAAAAGTGGATTACCCCCGGATCCGGTTTTTTGTTGACGCTCGTTTTCCCTTGCAAAAAACAATAGAAAATGAAAATTCTTGTTCTTAGTTGATCAAATTTCAAGAATCCCTTGCAAAAAATAAGGTAAAGTGGACATTCGCGCTCGCAAGACGAAATCCTTCCAAAACCTTAGGTTTCGTAGCGATTTTAACATAAAAACATCAAAAACCCAATGGTTTTTTAAGAAAAAATTGTCAAAATGTCCTTCCGCGCGCTCTTGCGGATTCATAGGAAACACACCACTTTTTAAACATTTCTGTCAAAAGGGTCTTTGCGTGCTACTTCTTCAGGTGCTTTGAACTTCTCCAACAACGGTTGCGCGCCTGCGAGGGCCACCATCCCTTGCAAAAAATGAGACGAAGTGCACATGCGCGCGGCCGCCGCGCGCGCATGTCGAAATCCTGCCAAACACAATGGGTTTTCAATAATTTCAAGATGCGATGTTCAGAAAACATATGAAAACGCACTACTTTCTCATCCGAAAAATCTCGAAATCCATTCGCGGTCTCTTGA